CATCTGCTGAAAAGATATTTTCGCAGATTCACAATTTATTTAAAATAAATCTATTAGCCCAATCTCCAATTCCATGTGAATAAATCTTCCCAGTGCTTAAATAATTTTCACCACATTAAATTGCTGCACAACACCCTAATTGCCGAAAAAGCGTTGCTTGCAACACTAGTCCTTTATGGGGACCAAACTTGGCGAAAAAAAATAGCTAAGTTTGTTTACTGGATATACTGAGGTCTAAACTGTGATGTGCACCACAGTATATACAGTAATAAACCTTTTTGAGTACTCCTCGGGGGTAAAATCTGATCAGGGTTGATAATGTGAAGGATCATTCATTTTGTTCATTCAGAGTTGTATACAAAATTACTGTGGTATGAAAGGGAGCAACAACCGTACTATGGCAGAGTGGCACAAGTCATGACTGTGTAATAATAACCGAAATTATTTGCAAAAGTGTAAAAATATTGCAAATTATTGTCTATTATTATAGATACTAGTATAGATTATCATAGTTCAGTGTACAACTTGTTATATTACACCGTACATGATAATGAACTGTTAAATGCTGAAAACGCTTATAACTTGAGGCTTAATGAACTGTCTGGGCGGATGCGCTGGCAGGCATTGGGGTCTGTATAACTATACAAATCTTTTTTTTTAAATAAAGACTTAAATATATTCGGAGATTTAGAATTTTGCTTGATAAATTCACAAAATTTACGTTTTTCATAAAAATATAATCTCATAATGGACTTTTTTTTAACTTTAAACTTACATTTAAGAAAACTCCATTCAGTGCTATAATTACGATTTGAGTTTTCCAGTTTATAAAACACAAGCGTTAATTATGTACGTAACTATTGATATTATTCTTCATTAAGCATGAATATCAGCATACATTAAAGATGAATATTATACTTAACCTACATTTTGTTCACAAATAACACATAATTATGTATATTTTAACACCGAAATGAACTTTTCTAATCATGAGGCGAAATTCCCCACAGTAAGTGTTGCCGTGCGCGCAAAACGAAAACGCTGCACGCAACCCAAAAGAACTCCTCGGGTACCAATTGGTGAAAAACTGAGAAAAGGACTATTATAGGGCATTCGCACGCGGCGATTTTTCAGGCAACTTTTAGTTGAAAGCAAAAATCGCCTCGTCCGAACGGCCTTTCAACTAATCGCTTCAACAAAGTTGGTCGCCAGCCAACTTTGAGCTCGTTCAACTTTTTTTCCTTGCAACCCTGTGTTTGTTTACATTCTGTATCAGTGTTGGGAAATTAAATTGTTCCTTCAGTACGAAATCTATACAAAAAATGTACTTTTCGGCTATAAATTGTATACACTTTTTAATTCGCTCATATATTTTCTTAGTACATTCCCTTCAAGACCAATGATTTTATGGTATTCATGAGAAAGTTTTATTGTTTATGTACATACGTTTACGTATTTTACACTTTTACAAATTGATTCCACGTGCACATGTATTGCATTTAACGCAAATATGTATGCACCATTTTCAGGTATACATCTTAACAAAAAGCATATTTAAGTTATTATTAATGGATAAAAGAGACATTTTCTTTGGATTCAGTACTAAAATTTGACATTTTAATAGCATTTCAAGTGCTTATCAAAACTTTACGACAAGATTTGACCATTTATCTTAATATTATTCAATTTTAATTATTTTTTGTAAAAATACGCTTTATATTTTAAGAAAAGCCGTACAAATCCAAGGTTCAAACTTTGTGCAACATTAAAAAAACCAACACACTTTCGTAAAAATTTCGATCTATTTAATTCGATTTCCTAGATTTATTTTGAGTGTGTGGTTTTTTAGCCCATTAAATTTTAATATAACTAAGTTTTTTAAGATTTCTTTGATGAAGGTGTTGCTAGTTTTCTCCATATAAAAAAATCGTCGAACACACTTCGTATGGAAGAAAATGGCTGACATCGTCGACAAAAAAAAATTGCTAAGTTCAACGGTAAGTCCCAGCTACTTTAAACTTGCACTTTATTATACTAAAATTGAATGGGCTAAAAACTAAAGAATATTAATAAAGCTCGAAATTTTTACGAAAGTATGTTGGTTTTTGGATGTTTCGCAAAGATTTAATCTTGGGTTTATACAGTTTTTCTTAAAGAATACATTATAGTTTATAAACAGATAATTAAAATTAAAGAATAATAAAATAAATAGTAAAACCTTGTCAATATGTGAGTGCCGTAAAGGTATTATATTTAAGAAAATCTCTTCTTATAACTAACGAAGACTTTGTTTCTATATGAAGTTGACTTTGACATTTTGTTTTAATAAAACTTAGTATCGAAAAGTTTCTTTAAAAATTTGCCTAGGCTATATTATATTGGTTCGTTCAAGCCATTTTTCAAAACTTACAAAGGTAAATACGAACAGGCGAACTGTGAATTTTCAGAGCTATATATTTTTAGTATTCATTACAAAATTTTACTAAAAAGTACTGCGTAGTAGGAAAGTATATTGTAAATGAAATTGTATCAAACAAGTACAATTGTACCAAAAATGCCAACACTGTTCTGTATACATACTTTTTTTCTTTTTTACTTTTTTACTCTTATTTTACCTTTCAGCTTCGCTAAAAGCACTTCTACCAACGCTTGGCTTACCAAATTTACGCCAATTAATAAAACTTTGCGATTTAAATTCATTTTCAATAATGTAAATAACGATTCGTGTTGAATCCAAAATCGCCTCGTCTGAATAGGGATGGCAACATTTTCACTTTGGTGAAAAACTGAGAAAAGGTTTATTACTGTATATACTGTGATGTGCACATCGCGAATTTAATACGGAAATTTATAAATTTTTAGCAATAACTTACATTTGCATCATCTTTGTAGCGAAGGACCAAAAATAAAATAAAGACTTTCTAATCGAATTATGCCCGTGGCATTGGGGTAATTCCCGATCGTAATTGGAGGAGCGAACAAAGTTTTGTTTTTGGGCTGCCGCTAGCACCTTTTTAAAATACGCCTTCTGAGGGAGACTTCAAGAATCAACGGATTTACTCAATACTCTTGTATAACCTGGCATATACATTACAGTATTACTGCCAACAGTCTTGGACTATAGGGCCCATAAAGCCTCAAAAAAACGCCTTCAGATTGAATAGTGTAAAAAGAAAAAAAAACAAAAAAACGAATAGCTTTGCACGGCTCCACTCCAAATATTGCAAAATGATAAGCGGTGTGCATGATAACCAAGAGCTACAACACGGGACAGATGAATCGCAAAATGCGGCTGAGTTCATTAATGGCACGGTAAGTTATTCGGGTTCGCTTTCCTTTACGACCGATTTTGGAACACATCAAGATAACCAACCGTTCGGGAAATGTTTAGTTATTGGCCCATCGTTTTTCGGGTGGGGGGCGGAGGGGGAGGGGCGTGGCCCCCAACCCCCCCTCATTCGAAAGGGGACAGTCGCCACTTTACGAAAAGTGCAATTTTTTTTGGATCGGGTCACCCCTTTGGACGCAATACCCCGAAATAGGTGGGCCACTTACTAAACAGTACCCAACCGTTCAGCTATGGGAAAACCAAAAATGCAGACCGATAGTGCTTTTTACGTTGATTTCAACTTTATATATATAATTTCCCGCAATTAAAAAGTAAAGATATAAAAGGTTAAAGAAAATTTTTGTGTTATTTTAAAATATTAATATTTTCTAAACTACGTAACCGATTAAAAGAGTAATGATATCAAATAAGGACAATTAATCAATCTTTAAGTTGATATATAAAATGTGTTTGCTTGATTATATATTTAAGCCAGAAATATTAAAAAACAAATAAAATGTTATAATTTTTTAATAAAATAACCTTTTTTAGAAAAAAGTGCATTATCAATGCTAAAAACATATATATTATTTAGAAAGTGCAAGCTCGTACCTTTAATTTGATATACATATTTTATTATGATCTACTTTTGAGGTTTAAGAATTCAATGATAAAAAAAATTAAAAGCATTTACAAGCAAGTGTGGATGATATCATAGTTTCTTTTGCCCAGAACTTCTTTCTGCGTAGGCGACATTCGGCCGCGCTTAGGGATCACAACCCTTACAAAGTAGAATTCTCCTTTCTGTATTGCCGAAAAGCGGAGCTTAACATCTCTTGCAGAGAACACCTTTCTGTGTAGGCGGCCTTCGGCCGCACTTGGGATTATAACCCTTACCAAATACAATTTTCCTTTTGGTTTGCACCAACTGGGGCTACCGCCCCAGTGATGTAGCCTTGGGAAAGGATGAGGTAACTAGAATTCCCTTTCTGCGTGGTAAACATGGGGCTGCCGCCCCAGTGATGTCTATTATGGTTACTGGGTGTTTTATAAAAATGTCTTGTATATAAAAATGTGTATATAAAAATGTCTTGTGCAAATGAATATTTAACATTTTTCAAGCGAAAATATGCAAATGAGAATTGTGATTTTTGGCCATTTTTCTAAGAGGTCCCTAGGGAACCATAGGGGAGGTAGGTGGTCGGGGGTTGAATTTTTGTCAATGGCAGTTCATTCCCTCTCCAAACAGGTGGGTTAGAGGTGCCACGCCCACTTACCTCTCGTCCACCGCCCCTTTAACGAACGGCCATAATGGAAAGCCAACCCGTTTAATTAACTACAATATGCATTTGCACATACATGCATTTATAGTTTTTATTATCACTGAATTCTGAAAACTCAAAAGCAAATCATAATATAATATGAATATCAAATTAAAGGTAAAAACTTGCACTTTCTAATTAATATAAATTTTTTTAGCATTGATTATGGACTTTTTCTAAAAAAAGGTTATTTTATGAAAAAATTATGACATTTTTTTTTTGTTTTATAATATTTTTGGCTTAAGTATATAAAAAAGCATACACATTTTATATATCAGCATGAAGACAAATTAATTGTCTTTATTTTGACATCATTACCTTTTGAATCGGTTTCGCAGTTTAGAAAATATTTATTTTTTAAAATATCAAAATTTTTTTGTTTTACCTTTTATATCTACTTTACTTTTTAATTGCGGCAAATAATATTGATATAGTTAAAATCAGCGTAAAAAGTACTAGCAATCTGCATCTTTAGTTGTTCTATAGCTGAACGGTTGGTTATCTTGATGTATGCCACTTCGCGTGAGTGCACCACGATTTGAACACGGGTGTTTGGTAGAGGGGGTCGTACACATCACAAAAACGAAAACCAGACGGCGAGAAAACGCAATAACATTGACAATAGTTTAGGAAGGGCCTGGCTGAAACTATACAAAAAAGCAAAATAAGCAAATGGATGTATAGAATTGACAACAACAACCACGCTGTCGAGTTTAAATAGCGGCAAATCAGCTGCACTTGATAGTAGTTGGTTGAATAAGAAAAATGAATTAGCAACAAGAGTTTACGGGATGTACATAGCTCAGTGGTTAACGATTCTGACTTTGAACATCGAATTCGCCGGTTCGATCCCTGCTGAAGTCTAGAAAAAAGAAGTCTGATGAAGAGATGTGATGATCTCCGAAATAGCTGCTATAACTTCTACCGCTTAGACTTTGTTGCTTTTTCAATTTTTCCTAATAAACAATCGTGGTACGAAGCTCAATAAAAATATTAAAAATAAAAATATTAAAAAGAGAAAACTCATAGTTTACGAGAAATTTGTTCTTAAAGTTGAAATCTTTTTTTTTTTGGGGATTTGAGTAGGTTGGCCGGTTTACAGTGTAAACCACCGCCAGGGTTATTCCTCTGTTTTCAAATGTGCCTCTTAGTATGTAATCATCCAAAGTGTTGTGTCCAACGTTGCTCCACTGCTGCTTATATGGTAATACCAGAGGGCCAGAACCACATGCAACAGTTTCTGCTCTGCTCAAGTTTTTTGATCTCTGTTGGTATTGTTGTCAAACTTGCACCGTAACCCTTATGGTCTAGTATGACAGTCCTGATGTCATCATGTACTTGGTGTTGAAACGATATGTTCCTTGAACAATTTTTAAATCCAAAGCGAAAGATTTGACGTGTTGAGTTAAATCCAATTTAAGCGCCTGCGATGCAGCAAAGCTCTTTTAAACGAGGGATTTTGTGACGTTAGAAATCCAAATAGTACGGATTGATGATTATGCCTGGTAGACTGCATCGGCTAGCTGGTTCCATGCAATAGATGGCTTTTATGCAGTGTGTGATTGACACAAAGCTTGCGTGAACTTAGCGCGCGCGAATTGACAGGGTTTGTTTTTATCAGTCTCCAAGGGTTTCTGACAATTCAAATAACGAACCTAAACCACTGCGCAAACCAAACTAAATGTGTGCATAACAATCACATTTTGTGCGGGAAGTCCCCTTTTTCCATTTAGTAGTCCGCCTATGAGGAGTTCGCGTCCGCTCAACGGAGGTTTTTGTTTGATTTTTTATGAAAAGAAATCTTAATGTCCGTTGATAAGAGGTTCGTGTCCGCCCAATAGAGTTTTTGTGTCAATTTTATGCAAAATAACTGTCCGCGTTCGGCCAAGAGAGTGTCCGCTTAAGAGAGAGTAATTTGTTCCGAAATTTATACTTAAAACTTGGTATAGGAAAAAATGTCCGCCCAAGGGAGGTGTCCGTCTAATAGAGGTGTCCGTTAGGAGAGGTTTCACTGTATATTCGTATCTAAAGGTAGTAGCAATATTTTTACGATTGTAGAAGTATTAAACTGTAGGGAGCTAAAAAAATAATAATAACAGATAATTTCGTTTTTTATAAAATATGACTAGGTAAGAATGTTACTCATACGCCATGTATGTATGTACTATTAATGAAATCGTAGGCATAACTATTTGTGTGGAGACTCTTCGTATCATGATGCATTTTCATTTGACCGTTTGCAACCTTATTTATCAATCAATTATTTGGGAATCCATCTTGATCTCAGGTTTTCGTGGAAATTGCATATTAAAGCGAAAAAAAGTCAACTTGCATTAAAAACATTAAGAATGTACTGGCTGCTTGCTGCAAAATCTGAGCTGAGTTTAGAAAACAAAATCTTTCCGCACAAAGTTATGCTGCAGCCGGTTTGGACATACGCTATGCAACTATGGGGTACTGCCAGTAACTCAAACAGAATTACTACAGCGGTATCAAAATAAAGCCCTAAGAAGTATTGTTAATGCTCCTTGGTATGTCACCAACTATGCCACTCACCAAGACCTCAAAATTCCATTTTTCAGTGAAGAAATCATCAGATTGACTCAGTGATAACACGATTTTTTTTTGTTGTAACTATCATAACAAGTTTTTATTTTGATGCAAGAAGACTAGCAAGTTAACCGAATCGGGGGCCAAACACGATCTTTTCGCCGTTACAATATTTCCTGCCGTAGAGAAGAGTCTTTCGTGTTCGGAGGAAAAGTTGTTTCAGTGAGATCCACGGATGTAAATTCTAAGCCAGAGGAAAGCTGGACCATTTCAACTTCCAGAAAAAAAAAAAAAAAAAAAGGTCGTGTCTTAGTCTTTCGTTAACTTTATTTGCATACATAATTATCTTTCAGTTCTTTTTTGATTAACATTAATATTCAAACATTTCAAAGTAATGGAACGCTGAGATAGTTCAGAGAAGATTTGTTCCTTTTTCGTTCTCTGTAACAAAGTTCCTGGGACTTTAGCTCCCAAATTGTTCTTCGAGAGTAAGTTCCTCAGAATTTTGTTCCCGTTTTTTTCTTTGCAAAACGTTCAGGAGAAATTTGTTAGCAGTTTGTTCTCTTAGAAATGTTCCCGAAAGTATTGTTCGCATTTTGTTCTCTCTGGGAACGTTCCACAGGGTTTAGTTCTTATATAATTCCCAATGAGAACGTTCTCATTTTGGTTTTGGTTTTGACGCGTTCTTGGGAACAAAACTACGACAATGACATTTAGTTTCGATCATACATTTTGTTCTCGGTCCCTGTTTTAGAATATTAATATTTAATATTCTTTAAAATATACATACATACATACATACATATGTACACATGCATGTATGTATATGCATTTACAAAAATTAGAAGTTTGAATTTAAGTACAGAAACTAATGTTTTAATTTACTTTTCTTGTCTCCGTCTACTCAGGCAAGCGGTTAGGTGTACATAGTCGCGTACATTCTAGACATAAAAAAAATAATTATAAAAAAAAATTTTCTCACTGAAAAAATATTTATCCTCACCAAAAAGATTATACAAGAAGCTTTATGTCGCATTACCCGGGTGTTTTTCGTTCAACCGGCACCAACATATGTATATTACCCGGGTACCCGGGCAAATCGGGTAATAAAA